AAGTAGAAGAATTCCACAGATTATTGCATAGCGAGGTGAAATGTCATTACCCAGCCTCACCTTAGAAGATAGCACAGTAGCGTTGACTGTCTTGTGCAAAATCCATCCACCTTATCTACTTTTATCCACAGTATTTTCTTCCATATTAAAAAAAAATAAAAAATGGAATGTTTCCTTACCCGCGTGTCTAGATTATATGCTGTCTTCTTTAAATCCTGCAGAGCCCTCTGCATGAACTCAAATGCATGGCAATCAACACAGGGACGACCTAGGAGAGCATTTAGGAGAGCATTTAGTAAAGAATCATGACTACATGGCATGAAGTATTAAGTAGAAGGAATAAGCAGTGATTTTGAGTATGAGGAAGAGCTACAGAAGAGCCCAAAGAATGAGTACTGATGTATATGCTCTTGAACAATCCAGGTAATTGTAAATGGTCCATCATGATGGTCCACCCAGTCTCTCCATGACAAAAGGATTACTTCAACAAATTTGCATTAAAAATTTTCTTCCTCCTTTATTGCTGTTCCCCTCGTCCTTCTCTTGTCACAGTTCATAGCGTGGAAACACTAAACCAATAACTTGAGTCTCATTTTGTTCCACCAACCCTGAGCACATTTTCAACCTCATCTTTAGATTTCTCACATTTTTCAGAAATCACCTCTGAGACCATGAACCTGTTCCCTGCAAAATCTTCTCTCCTAATCTCACAAACTTGAGCCCTAAATAGAAAGCTAATGGAATAAAATTGACTACATTATCACAAAGACAGATCACTTAGCCTCTAACTTTGAATATGATACAGCTTTGTCCAAAGCTGGTGAAGCAAGCAGCAGATAAACACAATGCCCTGTCATTAATGGGCATTGCTGATAAGCAGAACTGCTGCATTCTGGACTAATTGCAGTGTTTAAGATACAATTCCTATATCTAGATATCCAGACTGAAGGTCACAAGGCTTGCTTTGCCTTGATCATCATGTAACACAAAGCTGTGCCCTTAGAGATAGCAGTACTGAGACAGAACAAATATAGACATGATGAAATGTCTTCGAATCATCAGGCTCTACATATGCTCTTATTTGCTTCTCAGTGCCTGTGCCTCTCTGACAACTTCATAGGAAATATTGCGCAAGTGAGAAATTCTGAGCCCAGGTTTAGTTTGCTCTTTGAGGTCTGGTAAGGAAGAAGGATGAAACCTAGAGTGATGTTGGAAAATCCTGCAGTGTCTGTCAGCCTATTTTGCAAACACTTGATCTTTGGCTGATTACTACATGCCTCTGATAAGCTGGAGTATGAGCTTCCAGCTCATGATCTGTGTGCTAACCAGCAGACAGGAATCCTGCCTGCTGGAGAAAGGGAGTCTGCCAAATTCCTTAACTGGCTAGGGGAAGAAAAAAAAAAAAAAAGAGATAAAAAATAAACATTGAACAGTATTACAGACCTCCTCTTTCATTGTTGTACCACCACCCAACCTTACTGTTATTATATATGCACCAGACAAGGAGAGGACAGCATTTTCCACATCAACAACTTGATGCAAGGACCTGCCATTATGTTTATGATGTAAATTAAACTCAGCACAGATCAGCAAAGGAGAATTAGCTGGTTGAAGGCTGCAAGACTAAGTGTCACACACACACAAAGCACAAGGAGTGCTTTCTTGGCATCTTCATTGTGAGTTTTTTTAATAAAAACTACTGACTTTAATATAGTAGACATTACCAAGAATGAAAGACGTCATGAACAGTCAATGTCAGTTGAAAAAAATAAGTCTCAAGAATGTCTCTGAAAAGCAAACAGAGTGACTCCTGGCATAGAAAGGGCTAACACAACGAAACGGCTGTACAAAATAAAAGGTACAGAACAGTGGCAGATTTCAGGTACAACCAAGACAGCAACAGGCAGGAGATAAGAGAGTGAAGAGCCTTGGATGCAGAAGAAAAACAGCACTGGTATGCTATCAAGTTGTGTTTTAAAACATCATAAGCAAGACATGTCCAAAATCATTTGAATTATTTGGACAAGCTTCAGTGATAGGAAATCCTGCAACGTTAAAACTACAGTACAAGCTATATGAGAGGACTGTAGGGTGGTACGTACTTTCAGCTGGTATGGCTGTTCCCGCTTCTTGATCAGATCTAACAGGCTCCGCAAGAAGCAGTGCAACCACAAAAACTAAAGGAACTGTAAGGACCACTCTTCTCAGAAGGCAGGGTGCCAGCATCTTGGGAATGGGTGCTCCTCTGTTTATCAAGAGACACAAACAAGGCAGTGACGAACATAACCGATACAAAGTTTTGTTACAAAGAACTTAATGTTCCTGATGGCTAAAGCATTAGCAGTCTTCCTTTGAAAGAAAAAAAAATATCAGAAGATCTAGAGCGTGGACAGAAGTTCTCCATACTTTTCCAGCAGTGCACATAAAACCTAACAGGGAGAGAATGTCCCCCTAGACATGAAGGAGAAGATCAGAAGTCCCTAGACAGTTTTTGGTGTCATTTGCAAGCCAGGATGCCAGCAACTTTGCCTGCTCTGTGACTCCAATCTTTTTTCTAACTACACAGTCCCAGACCAGCACATGAATCTAGACAGCTGGTTTACTGTTAGATTTCGAGATCAAAACTGCAGGGATTGTAGAGCTGGCTGAAACAGACCTGAACTTGGAAATGAAGTTCTTACCCACTTGCTCACTTTACTGATGTATCATCTTTTCACAAGTATAATAACTAAGGCTAACCGTTATCATTAACTACGCGCCACACTAATCATAAAAACTTACTCCTTCATGAAAGTAGCTGAAAGAAAAGACTTCTGTTAAACCTCCACAAATTCATAGGCAGAATTTCTAATGGTAAATGCAGCAAAACTCTTTGACCTTCTGTTTCCCCTCCTAATCTGGGCTTCAGACCTTTATTTGCAGCCATCCATTTGTTCCTGAACATCACAGCCAGGCTACACCATGCCCTGAAGACAGGTACCGTCTGGTCCAGCAACACTTCCCCTTCACACAGAGGTAAAATTTTTGATAAGTACACAGGTTTCAAATGAAGTATTTTCTTGATCCAACAGGTAAACTGTTCAAATCAAGAGGGAACATAGGAAACTTGGACTGGCTTAGGCTGCAGCTGTCCATTACAGATTTCAGTCCAAGCCTCAAAGATCCTGGCAAACTGCTAGGTCCTTAGTTCAGCCAAGTTTACCTGTATGTTCAAATGGAAGAAAGAAAGAATCAAATAAGGTTAAGTTGTAGCAATACAATAAAATCCACATGAAAATTCTCTTTAGCTGAACCCAGGAAAGCAGGACAACATTCTGTCTCTTCCTGATTTTTAAGTTGGTGCATACTAAGCAGAAGACATTGCGTAAGAACATCAAATCTGCATGTGCTGAATGCAAGAGTACAGCACTCCCCAAACCAGCTTGTATTTCACATTTGGAAGGGCAATAGAAGGAGGCAGGAAGGGAAAGGTTTTTCCCCATCTTGCCACAACACAGAATGGAACAAGCTTGCTCTTCGATATACGCAATCCACCGTTTCAGACACAGCTAATCTGAAGCTGCAAATTCTGCACGAACACTTGCAGCACGTGCAAACCAGCAATTCATCCAGGGAAGGAGCAGCATTATACACATCCCCTTCCTGTGCACCTCAACCTAAACCTAAGACTAGGGGATGGTTCAGAAGCAAGAGACACACACATACACATAGAGTCACAGGTATATTTGGGCCCACACCAAAAAATAAATCTGGTAATGTAATTCCTGTAACCTCAGAACTGGGCTTCCTATCCCTCCCACTATTTAGAAGTGATCTGATATGATCCTTTTTCTTATTTCTACAGTCCTTAAAATAAAGGGATTAAAATCATAACAAACAGCTTGGATTTTCTGTTTTAATTAATGGTGATCTGCAATCAAAGCAAATACAATCAAAGACACCAGGCTTTGCAACAGGATGCAGCAGTGTCTCCAAGTAACAGTAAATCAGGGTAATACCAGCCTCCTTTGAAAGTACCTAATGCAGAAGCCTCCTTGTCAG